TTTGCAGGAGCTACTGCAATCAGCTTGTACTCAGCAGGAGCGTCTTTGGGAAATTGAATGCATTTTCTTTTCTGTAATGATCACTAGGCCTTTGAAAAGGAGATCCGGCCTGCAGGTGCAGCCCAGAGGTAGAGGGTTTCCCTAGAATGCATGTGAGTCTGGGCTGCATCCCCACAAGAGGGAACACTGAGGTCTGTTAATGTAACACGAGGATGCAGGAACAGTAACATACTGAGCTAGGTCCACTAGCACCCAAGAAGTGGAAATGGATACAGACCTGCTCACTCTTCATGTAGACAGCCTTGTCCTCTAACAGGATGTTAGGATTCCATCCTCTTCTGTGGACTGGGGAAGAAAGATGCTCCATCCTTCCTGTGGCTTATCCTTGAAGGCAGTGCCTTCCAGACTTTTCAGAAATATACATCTCATTCTTAGGATAGGCACACAACTCAAAAGATAGAGCAAGATTCCAGAGACTGCTCACACTGTGGATTTTGCTGTCGGGATGTTGGCCTCAGACACATTTGTTGGTGCAGCAAATGTTAAATTCTACACGGAGAATTCTCACACAGGGACTTAGGGGACTTGGGATCATTTCAGAGATGGCACCTTGAACACTTAGTGTTGAAAATTTAATGCCTCCATGTGCTTCTAGAAAAATTATTTTTGTTGTATGTAAATTATAGACTTGTAGAAGAAAGCACAGATATCTGGCGGAAATTTCTCAGGAGACAATCTTGTATCTGTGCTTTGTTTAAACCTGAGGCCAGATTTCTCTGTATACGACTCAGGGCTACTGCTTTTGCTTTACTGGCTGACAGTGTCATGGCCATTTCATGGGGGAAAATGTGTATAAGTGCAGATATGTGGCTGGGGTGAGGACAGGGTACACAGCAGCATCCATCCCCATGGCAAGCTCATGGCCTCTGCCCTCCTCTACACTATCCAGGTGTCCTGGGCCTCACTAATAGATGAGTTAAACTTGGAGCCTGTGTGACAGAAAGTTCAAGGCTTCAGAGCATGATGGGTGTCCGTGCCCATAATTCACTGTGACTCGGTATTTCCTAGGAGGGGAAACTCTTGATTCTGACAGAGTAGATGATGTTGTAACCATTGCCTGTCTGCCAAGGTTCTGACAGCATCTCTGGCATCACTTTGAGTCTTTCCACAAGCTCCAGGTAGGATTTACTAGACAATGGTGAAATCAAGAAGTAGTAATGCATCCAATATCACAGAGCTACTAGGTAGCAGGGCCAGGATGTTAAACTGACAATACATTTTAAGAGGCTTAAAGGATATATTGAGCAGATTTTGAAATACACTCTCTTGATAAAGTGTAGGCTTTCAAGCAAGAGAAACACATTACCGTTGGAACCAAGCATTCTAATTCCAGAGATAATGCTGGGATGGCCATGACACTGTCAGCCAGTAAAGCAAAAGCAGTAGCCCTGAGTTGTATACAGAGAAATCTGGCCTCAGGTTTAAACAAAGCACAGATACAAGATTGTCTCCTGAAAAATTTCCACCAGATATGTGTGCCTTCTTCTACAAGTCTATAATTTACATACAACAAAAATAATTTTTCTAGAAGCACATGTAGGCATGAAAGGCCAATGAAATGAGTTTGATCCTTTGTTTTCTCTTGTGGGGTGTAAATGAATCAGCTATAGAATATGTTTAAATTTTGCTCTCAGGTTCCTGTGACATGTCCTGTCGGATGGTCCCTCTGGTGATAAGGAGGGATGGGAAGTTCATGTTGGGATCAGAAATTGTGGGATGGGAACAGATCTGATCTTCCATGGATTTTGCTGCAGCAACATCAGGGAACCCACTGAATTTCTTATGAGAGCCATGGGACTGAGAGAAGCCCTTCCCAGGCTGTACTGGATGTGAGGCCTCAGTTTCCTAACAGGTCATCAGCCCATGAGGTGACAAGGTGAGAGAGAAGAAGGGCTGGGAATTCCCCTCCTGAGAACAACAGAGGATGAGGGAGATTTCCTAAGTCAGGGGAGAAATAACTGAGAAATACCTTTCATTTCCCAGATAAGAGGGAACTCTTTCAGTAGAATCCTGTGTAGTGCTAATCTTACAGTCTAAATATCCTTTATATTGACATGTACTGGAGAGAAAGACAGCTCAGAGCTGCTGTTAAACACTATTGGCAATCTTCACTGACAAACACTACTCAGTGGTATGAATAAGCATAGTTTATGGACCCATTTGTCCATGGAAGAACATGTAAGTGATCTTCATGTTGCTGCTATTTCTGATTCACTGGTTTACACATGTAGTTGCTTGTGACATTCATGTTGCAATATTGTTCGGAGTTCTTGTCATAATATTTGAATTTACTCCATTCCAAAGTTAATATCCCATTGGACATTCTCGCCCTTCTGACGAGGCATGATTTCATGGGTCCTTGGCATTTAGGCGAGTTTGTTAGGAGACAGAGTCTGTATCCAAAGTTTCTTTTCTTTTTTAAGGGGTGGGATGGCCCTGTGGCCATGGCTAGTGCGGCACGTGGTGCCAGGGATCAAACTGCATTCTCTGCGATTGCCTAAGCCTGACCAGCCAGGCTATTTAGACTGCTGCGCTGTCTGGCCAGCCCCAGAGTTTCTATAGCTACAGATATTCCCATGTTTGCTTTTTCACCTGAAAACCATGGTGTGAACTCTTGGACTCCACAGGTAATGTTTCTTCTCAGTGTCAGATACACTCCGGCACTACCATGATATGCTTGGCTGGTTTGATGCTTCATGAATTCCCAACTGTCCTGATAGTTTAGTTTTGATTTTATTTACTTGGTACAGGGTCTTGCTATGCAGCTCAGACTCGTAGTAATCCTCCTGTCTTAGCCTCCCCAGTGCTGGCATTACAGGCATATGCCATCATGCCTGGTTTTGGTGGCCGGCACAGTGCATCTGGGGTTCCAGGGCCAAGACAGCGTGTGGTACCAGGGTCAAACCCAGGTCCTTGCACTTGCCACGCAGACACGTAGACCACAGAGCTATCTCCCCAGCCCAAACATTTTAATTTTGGATATCACTGACTCATTGTGCTTGTCCACGTTTCTTTAACAAAAGCCTTGCTACAGTACATTAACCGTGTGGTTTACTTTTCCCTGGACTTTCTGACATGAAGTCCAGGTAGGCAGTCAAGGCCTGTGGCCTTTGCAGTGTTCCAAGTTCATTCTCTCTTGGCCTCTCCTTTTGTGCCCCAAATTTTGTCATGCTGTGTTCCTTTGTCTTTTGTCATAAAGCAGCCAGTACTTGTCCAAGCACTACAGTTACATCCAGCTAGCAGTAAGCTGGAATAGACGCCCGGGCTGGGTCTATTTTAATTCAGGAGCTCATTTTCTGGAATCCCTAACCTTCTTTTTTCTTTTTTTAAAACATAATTTTATTGAGAAACAAATAACAATGAGACAGTTTCGAAACCAATTAATAGGACAGTTTCAATAATTAATGCATTGCATATTGTTGTCTTCATGGTGGTTACTCATTGCACAGACATGATATCTTGTCTACAAACACTATTAGAACAAATCTTTCTATTCATTGAATTAAGAGAAAGTAGCTGTACATCTATCCTAACTTTTGAATAGGCAGATACAAAATGGTCAAATTTATCCTTTTTTTTTTTTTTTTTGCAGTAGGGGGGATTAACCTTTAGACTTGCATTTATAATTTAGTGGCCAGTGCTAGATTATGTGGCTAACCTTAGTGACCAGGGGGTCCGAAGGCCTGAATGTTGCTAAATGAGCACTGGCAGCTCTGCAGAAATCAAGCCTCTGCTGCAAGGGGGAAGGATTGAGTGAGTGAGGGCAGTGCTCTGGACCGTCTCCCCACCCAGACACTCTTCCTTTGCACGTGCATTGGGAATGTATTGCAGTTCCTAGAGCATTAGGGTGGCTCTGATTCCCTACAATTTGTTTTTCTTTTGAATGTTAAGGAATAAACACGTGTAGTCAAATCAGCAAAATTCTTGTAATTGCCTCAAAGTATTGCCATTGCGAGACAGTGTGGTGTCCGAAGATTCGTGGGCTTCAGGTCCCACCAAAGAATTGACTGGGACAACCAAGAGTGGTTCAACACAACTCTTATTTCATGTGAAACAAGAAAAGGGAAGAGATGAAGAGAAAGAAGGCAGCAGTGGTATAAAACAGTGAAGAAAAAGGAAGAGCAAGAAGGCCTATGCCTGAAAGCAGGATGGACTACTGCTGAGACGGGAACACAAGAAACCACAAGATTGCAGCGGCAACGAAGGCAGTAGCCGCCTTTATACCCTTCCTACACCCGTCCTACATGGACATGACAACTGAAGTTGCTCTGCTCATGTAGCCTGCTGGTTCTCGACAGGTTGCATCCCTTCCAGACCAGGTTCCCTAGGTCCATCCTGTCCCCAGCCACAGTCTGGCTCTTTGTCATGGATGAGTTATACCCTGTCTTCCATGCAACCTGCCTTCAAGAAAATAAAAATAAATGAATAAAATCTCCTCCGAAAACAAAGCCTGATTTTCTTTATCTGCCCCTCTGTTTTCCATCTCTGCCACTGAATCTGCAGTGTATGTGGTATGTGTTCTTTAAAATATTTAATTATGGGGCTGGGGAGATAGCTCAGTAGAATAAGCACTTGCCTGGCAAGTGCAAGGTCCTCAATTTAATCCCCAGTATCGCAAAAAAAAAAATTATGGAAAGCTTCGAACATATGCAAAAACATGGTGGGCAGCACAGTGCAATCCTGTACAACCATTACCCAACCCCAGTCAGTCACCTGGTGGCCATCCTTCCTGTGCAGACCCACCCCTCCCTACCCAGATCACTTTGAAGCAGAAACCAGACATCAGATCATTCCATCTGTGTTTCAATATAAGTCTCTAAAGACATGAAGTCTTCAAAATATAGCCACATGCTACTATTAGCACATCTAAAAGAACAGTGCTTGACAGTGGTGGTGTCTCCTGCTTCAGTGTTCTGGGACACATCAGAAGTTTTGAAAAGATGCCTGAAATAAACATCAACCATCTTGATAAGCAACCGGTGGAACTCCTGGTGGAGAAGTGCATCCTTGCTGATGAAAATGACAATAAAATTGGAGCAGACACTAAGAAGAGTTGTCACCTCAGTGAAAACATTGAGAAAGGATTATTGCATCAAGCTTTTAGTATCTTCTTGTTCAACACTGAGAATAAGCTCCTAGTGGCTGCAGAGATGGCTCAGTAGAATAAGCATTTCCCTGGCAAGTGCAAGGGCCTGAGTTCAATCCTTGGTTCCACCAGAGAGAGAGAGAGAGAGAGAGAGAGAGAGAGAGAGAGAGAGAATAAGCTTCTGATAGAGCAGAGTTCAGATGCTCAAGTTACATTTCCAGATTGTTTTACCAATGCTTGTTGTATTCATCCCTTAAATAATCCATGTGAGCTTGAAGAAAATGAGTCCATTGGTGTGAGACAGTGCGCACAGAGGCATTTAAAAGCTGAATTAGGAATTCCCTTAGAAGAGGTTTCACCAGAGGAAATTTATTATATAACACGTTTTCACTACAAGGCACAGTCTGACAGTATCTGGGGTAAAAATTAAATTGAGTGTGTTCTATTTGTGAGGAGGAATATAACTTTGGATCCAGAGCCAAATGAGCTTAAAAGCTATTGCTATGTGTCAAAGGAAGAACTAAAAGAACTTATGAGAACAGCAGCCAGAGATGAAGTTAAGGTAACTCCATCATTTAAGATTATTGTTGAAACTTTTCTCTTTAAGTGGTGGGATACCTTAAATCACTGGAGTCACTTAGTGGACCATGAGAAAGTCTATAGAATATGAAGGTACAGCTAACTAGTAATGTCCTTACATGATGAGGTACAATTTTTTTGTTGTGTTGAGTTCCCTTTTAGGACTTTTATCATGATGAATATATACTTTTACAGCCAGAATTTGTGTGGAAAAACAATTGACTTAAACTTTGTACTACATAATACTGCACATATTTGTACTGCTCGTTGTTTATAAGATTTTGGTGAAAATGAAAGAGCAAATGAAACTTGAATGTCACCTGTCCAAACACCTGGTTAGGACAAGCTTGAAGAAATAAGTAAAACTCTTCACTTTTTCAATTTTTTTGAAGTACTACTTGCCAAGTGCTTTGTATATTCGTAAATTTGTACCATAGTCCAGTTAAATATGTATAGAAATCTGTTCAGCAACTTCAAAACAGTCCTGGCAGATTAAAATGGTAGAGCAGGTTCAAGGGAAATTAAGCGATTTAAGAGTAATCACACAATCTTTCAGTAATCACACAAGATTGGTTTAGGATTCTTTTCATACTAAGATTTTCAGATACTAAAGTTCCTTATATACAGTAAAATGGTGTAGTATTTGCACATAACCTAAGCACATCTTCCTCTATCTCTTAAATTGTAGATTACTTATATTAACAAATCCTATCACATGCTGTGAAGTGGTTACATGTTTAGCTTAGGAAATCATAATAAGCCTGTACATATTCAGTACAGATACCTTCCCTTCAGATGGTTGTAGTCCATGGTGGGATGCTTTGCACCCACAGATAAAAAGCTAGTTATAAGTCTTATTTCTTTCATTCTACATTGATTTTGTGATTTAAGCATCCTGAAAGTTATCATTTCGATAATGAAAGTCAATCTTTTAGTAATGTTGTCAGTTAGAGTGAATCTTTTAAATAGAATTTTCTGGTTAGAAATAAACCATACATACATGTGTAAATATCATATAGTTTCCCTAGTATAAGAATTCAACGGGAACCCCCAGACCCAGTCCTAGCCCAGGTCCGGTGAGTGTGTGGAGGGCTTCCTGCTACCCTGCGCC